GGGGGGGGGGGGGGGGGGGGGGTGCGGGAGGAGAGACAGGGGGAGGACAGGGAAGCGCGCAGGGCGGGGCGGAAGGGGAGGGAACCGAGGAAGAGCAAGGAAGAGCTAGGAGGGGGGATGGAGAAGGGAGGGAGGACGTGGGCGGAAGAGAGGCAAAGATATGGGAGTACCTCATGCATGATCTCGCTGATTGTCTTGGAATCGGTTTCAGAAGCGACAAGCCCTTCACAGCCACTCGATCCTTGCGATTCACACCGTCCATTGATAGATTCGACGGAGTAAACTTTTGTCCCGACCCCATTCGAGGCCATCCTGTCTTCTTATCCAATATCCCGATCCCGACACTGGTCGCGGCAAGAGCTGAGATCCCGACACTGGTCACGGCAAGAACTGAGCTGATGGGATTAGATTCGAGAGAGTAAAATTTTGGCGCGCAAGAGCTTGAGCTCCGATCCCCCGATCCCGACACTGGTCACAGCCTTCCTACCCTCTCATCTACACAGCACTCAGAAGAAAAACAGAACCGCTCCTTATCCTCCTCCTCCTCCTCCTCCTCTTCCTCCGCTCTCCTATCTCCTCTCTCTTTTCCTGTATGGGCACTCAGAAGAAAACAGAACCACGCCTTATCCTCCTCCTCCTCCTCCTCCTCCTCCTCCTCCTCCTCTTCCTCCTCTTCCTCCTCCTCCTTCTCTTCCTCCTCCTCTCCTCCTCTCCTCCTCTCCTCCTCTCTCCTCTCTCTCTTTTCCTCTACGGGCTTATGGACAGCATTCCAGGGCAGGAAGCGACTCTTCAATCATAAGCCCAATTGGATGAGAATGATATCTACATTCTCTAATGATATCTACCTGCTGATAAAACTCTCTTAAATATTTAAATAAGGAAATATTTAAATATTTAAATCTGAAGTGACAAAGTATATAAATATAACGCGACAAAAAGATACGCACGAATCAGCCTCCTGGCCATTTATTTTCCCCACCGCCGTTGAGGATTCTGCCGTACGCCAGTGCATCTATCAAAATCACAGTCATACTATTTCTGTTGATGTCCAGTTCAAAGATCGTTGCGCGCCGTCAACGGCTCAGCGAACACGGCGGACAACGAGTCCTGCTACGAATACTCAATCCAGCAAACACGATGGGTTGAATCTGACATCAAAAGAAACAATCCTTCATTATAAATCTCCTCTCTCTCTCTCTCTCTCTCTCTCTCTCTCTCTCTCTCTCTCTCTCTATCTATCTATCTATCTATCTATCTATCTATCTATCTA